TTAGTATATTACTTGTGTGATGTAAGAATGTTAACACTGTTATATTCCTTTTTTAGTATAATATGTGTGTGGGTAGAAGTGAATCATTTACTGCTTGCAAACCAATGATGGTAAGATGATGTCATGGGGTAGGACTGGATAAGTCTGACTTCTTCCTACTCCATTCAAGCATGTACTAGGTATAAACAAATTGATATTGGATTATGTGTAAAATTATGTGTGTTGACATATCAACTGTTTTTTACATGCTTGAAAGAATAAATCAAATCTGACAGGGAAAATCCCAGGCTTAACTGTCACTGCACCCCTGCTCATGTATTTCCCAACCAGCTATTGATTTAGTCAGAAATATCTAATGTCACTAAGAATAGCAGCAAATGTGAGTAACATTAGTCAGATAAAGAGCAGGATTTGTCAGTCCAGCAGAGAGAGACAGAGATGTGGCACAATCTGATGCAACCATACATAGCAACAGTGACTGACCCGCATGACTAGTTGGCCTGCAGCCCTCATGCCACCCTGTTTTAGATTAACAGACATTAGCAAACAGACCATATTGCAAATCATAAAGTACACTGACTCTGAGTCTATGATCCTGCACCTTTTTGCCTCTCTGCAGTTGGACGGCCAATTAAGGTGGAGAGGAACAAGAAGCCGACGGCTGAGGACCTTGACACCCTCCATCAGCTTTATATGGATGAACTCAGCAATCTATTTGAGGAACACAAAGGCAACTATGGAGTGGACAAGGACACACATCTGAACTTTGTTTAAATTGGAGGATGGAGGAGATCTGAATGCATATAGAGCTCTGGTGCCGCAGGTTCAGATAGCTGTACTTTGTGATTTGTCAGTCCAGCAGAGAGAGACAGAGATGTGGCACAATCTGATGCAACCATACATAGCAACAGTGACTGACCCGCATGACTAGTTGGCCTTACATTTTCACTTACATTTTCTCTCACCTGGCCTGAGATGAATAAACTGTTATTGGCTGTGAAACAGCACACACTGTCATATCTGGTTTCTGACTGTTGTAGATGAAGCTAGAGTCAAGAAAAGGTTATCTTAGTTAGCAGTAGCTAGTCTGGCTCTGTCTGGACATAAGCAAATCTGGAGTCTTTCTTGTCTGAAAGATTCTCAGAGTCTGTCACAGCTAAACAAACCCTTACCTGCAAGTCAAGTTTCCAGAATTCCTTTAATAGCTGACTTGTAATTGATTAAACTGTCTAAATCTGTGACATCTCAAGACTTTCAAAATATGTGAAGCAACAGGGAAAACACATTTTTTACGGAGCTTTAAAGTGTGAGATTTATTTTAATTACTGACTAAGATGTCAAATTACATTTATAAACTTAAATTAATCAAGAATAAAAAACCAAAGCCTCTTACTCTCAAAAGTATTCAGACCCTTTGCTGTGGAGCTCCAGTTTCTGGTCAGGCACATTCTGTTTGCTTCAATCTTCAGATGTTTCTAGAACTCAACAGGGGTGCACCTGTTGCAAACTGAATTGATTAGACATAGTTTGGAAAAGCACACACCCAGGTCTAGATAGATCAGGGTAAGGATATACAATGATTTCCAAGGTACTGCATGTTCCAAGGAGAACATTACTGAGGTCATAGTTAAAGGTGATATTGAACTGGACTATATTTTATTTAGAGCTGTCTATATATTTTTGTCCTCCCTTGCTATATACATGAGAGGGTCAGAATATTAGGAACACCTGTACAACACCACCTTTAAACTATGACCTCAATAATAAACATATAGTTGAATTTATACATTTATGACAATTTCACCAAAACTGAAATATTTTGAGACTCATAAACATTGAATTGCATACAATTGTACAGGTCTATTTACTAAAGTGAAACCTGCTATGCCTCAGTTACATCTGGAACCTGCTCTGCCTCCGGAACCCGCTCGGTCCCCGTCCAGAACCTGCTCTGCCTTGGTTCTGTCTGGAACCCGTTCTGTCTCGGTTCTGTCCGAAACCTGCTCTTCTTCGGTTACGTCCAGAACCCGCTCTGCCTCCGGAACCTGCTCTGCCTCTGTTCTTGGCTCTCTTCCACGCAGTCACCTGTTCCTGATTTATTAATAAACACTTTTTTTTGTGTCCCACTCCCATGTCTGTGTCTGTGTCTACCTATTGAGTCCACCCATGCCAGTCCCCTTAACACCAAAACCTCCTGTTTAAATTGTCACTCTTTAATCAGCAGGTTTTACTATACTGGAATCTCCTGTACAATAAACCAAAAAGGGAAATTTGTCTTAAATAGATAGCAGAAGTGACAATGACTAAAACCTATTTTTAACGCCAATTTGAAAAATCCCAAACTAGTGCTTTAAACAAGGCTAACATCTGTACAGGTGAAGCAGTGGTTGTCCCCTATAACACAGCAACAATAAGTAATATTTTGAATTTATCTAGGGCTGTGTAGGCTAGTTTAATGTTATAACAAGTTTGGTCAGCTAATATACAGCAGCCAAGTGAAATGATGACTGCTTTACATGAGAATTGTTGCCCATATACATTTTCACACTAAATATTTGAGTAATATCAAGATGAAGGCAGATCAGTACTCCCCCTGTCATACAGAAGAACCTCATTAAAACAAAAAAGCTCAAAAGTTTGGTTTGACATTGTAGTAAATCTGGATTAGATCTAACAGGACGTGAGAGTTTCTGACTTCCTGTACAGACTGAAGGCTGGTGGAAGGCAGCCAAACAGTCCATCTTGACTTGATGTGAAACGAGCCTGCTAGACATGAACTGCTGTCAAAGGGGTTTGTCATACTGTATGTAGATCAAACATGCTCAGCAAATACAAATATGGACGTGTCTCACTTATTGCCTCTTCTTTCTAAATCCCACATTAAAGGTCAAGCGCCTGGTTTGGACCAACCTCCCAGATGTGAATGTGTCTGTGACCTATGGCCAGCACGCTTTATATGAGATGGCAAGGTTGCGATATTATTACAACATTAAGTGATTGCAGACTGGACAATGCCCTGATACTTTCAACACAGTCTGGACAACATTTGGGAATGTGTTTGTGCATGTGTGTGCATGTGCACACTTATAAAATGCTGACTAAACGGGGGTACTGTGATGCAAAAGAGACATAATTGGGAAATAGCTATATTTAAGAACAATAAAGCCAAGCACCAAGGAGGTGACAGACAATGAAAATGACTCTTTACCAGCACTGTAACCGGTGAAACGTATGTGGTGGACAATTCTGGAAATGTCTATATTGGGACATATGCTGTATTCATACACTCGATACTGTATCAAATGATAAGAAGATTCCCATGCCACACTGGGTTATGCTGTTTGGACAGTGCTGCTACTCCTCGTTGCTAATTGTTTGGTCTCAGATTCCTCTCTTCTAGATGTGAATGAGGCCAGGGTAACAATATTAATGACTTATTTTGAAGACAGTGGTCAAAGTACAAAAGAATCAAAGCTTTGTGTTCACTGTGTTCAACACCCTGTGGTCATATCTTATTTTTGCTTTTTCCTAAAAGAAAACAGAAGGTAGGTCCAGTGCCACAGTTGTTTTCAAATACACAGCACTGTAGCTTGATCATTCTTACCTTTAAACAAATGAAACATTGTACTAGGACAAACAATATCATTATTTTTTGATTCGATAAGTAGAACAATTATTGAAAGGAAGCTTGTGTGATAAATTTAATCTAAAAGTAGACGATTGTGTATCTGCTCTGCAGATACAGTGGATCATATACAGGTTAGATCAACTGAAGTATTGCTTACTGTACTCTAACACATGCACAAAGAATGTAAGAACCAAAGCTGTCAAGTCACTAAGCCTTGAATCTAAGTCTCCAGTTTTTTCTTGACCTTTGTATTTTATATTAGGTTTTACCTTATATGATATGGATGATTGCCTGATTCTGTTTTACTATGTAAAGCATGTTGAATTTCCTTGTTTATGAAAAGTGCTCTATAAATAAACTGACTTTGAATGCTCATTGTTTGAGTCCGGGCCAAGTGAGAGGCACCAAAGAATAATCACCAGAGAATGGAGTTGAGTTCCAACCTGAGTCCAAGTCATCAAGGTCTACATTAAACACAAGTGACACAGATCGCACCATTTTAAAAGGATTTTACTTACTGTGTGTAACACAACAGCCAAGAATGCACAAACACACAGCTTAGAAGTGAAAGGTGTGATTTTTTTTTTGATATTCTGAATTATTATGGCCTATTATAAAAAAAAAGTCTGAGTCAGAGTCTCCAGCTTCCGAGTCCAAATGCAGTCAATGCTCAAGTCCAAGTCCGAGCCTGAGTCCAAGTGGAGTCATGAGTCCTGAAAATTGGACTTGAGTCTGAGCCCTGAGTCTGATAAGAACTGACATTTAGTAAAAACTAGACTTGAATCACATTATAACAAAACTGGACAAATAACAATCAGTGACAAAATAGACACTGAAATTATAAAAAACAAAGAATAAAAGATATAAGCAGTGCATTTGATGAGACTCTACTGTAAAGTTGCATGATTATTTCACTGGCCAGAGACATTTCTCAACAGCAGCCTCATGGATTGTATGACTGATTGCATCCAAAAGCAAACCACAAGATACCACATATCTAGTGGGCCAGGTTCCACTAGATATGTGGTATCAGTTCAGCTTTTCAGGATGAACTGTTTTAGTTACAACGTGCAAACGATTTTGCCAGGAGAGCCTGGGTATAATATTTAATTTGATAAATTGACAGGAGTCAAGGTCACAGAGAGAGACAGTCTGGGAATCATGTCCTCAGCAGAATCATCACATCAATCTTTGACCTGAGTGTGTACCTACTGTCTGAATTTGTGCCTTCTGTAAATATACACCACCACAGAGCCTCATGTAGAGTCAGTATTCTAGGAGTCAGGGTGTATTAATAGACTTATCCTTGACCTCTGATTTTGTAGATTAAACATAATATGAGAGATAATGCTACATTTAGACCTCAGTTTTGAGCAACTTTGTATACCTATCATCTTAAAATGCCTGATTTGATTTGGCTAAACTCCAGTAATATTATGATTTAAGCATTGATGTAACAGTGATGATCTAATATCATGTGTAATAATGTATCTGTCTTTGTTTAATAGCCATTCTTTGGATCTGCATCCACCTCCAGCAGGTTCTGGTCGGGTCAGTTGCTCTGCTGTGCAGCTGACAGAATTAGTCCTTGCTAGAGGTCACAAAGAGCAGGGCATACCTGCAATCACACCACACGGCAACCCACAAGTACCCATAAACCAAAATCATGATGGTACAACTAGCGTGTTCAGAGATGCAGATGAAGAGCGGGTTCTTTTTAACCCAGAGAGAAGTAGAGATGTAGCCTGGTCTGCTCACACCAAAGGCTTCACTCACATGGTGGCATGCAGTCCTAATGGGGCATAAACAGACAGTCTAGGCATATAGGAATTCTTGTGCAGCTTTCCTTTGGAGTCAGGTAAGGAGTCAAAAGCCAGAAAGAAAACAGTCTTAAAATAAAAAGATACATAAGGGCGACGAAGTATGAAAACACAATACACAAAAATAGGGTAATAGTATTTCCCACAGTGAACTTCAAACATTGCACTTAGTAATTCACATGGTGGAGTTGGATATGTCATTATGCTTGGTGAGGTAGTGAGGGGTTATTGCACATGTCTAGTAAGGGGTTATCGCAGATATATTCTCACATTTTCATATTTGCCATCAGTCTTACAGCGGCAGGGAAAAGGTTGTTGTAAAATCTTTTTCTCTGTGTGATGATACCGTCCACCCTGCTGTGCCCGAGGCTGTAGGTGCAGTTTTTGTGTCTGAGCAGAGAGTAAGCAGGGTGGAGTGGATCTCTGAGTATGTTCTCTGCCCTTTTACGACAGCACTGTGTGTACAGTGTGTCCATAGCAGGCAGTTCAGTCCCAGTGATCCTCTCTGCAGTCTTTATGACCCTCTGAAGAGCTTTTCTCTCTTCCTGTGTGGTGTTACCTTACCAGACTGTGATGCCAGTAGTGAGGATGCTCTCTACCAGTCCTCTATAAACCTGGGTGAGAGGGTAACAGTTCAACCCAGCTTTTCTGAGCCGCCTGATGAAGTATAGCCACTGCTGGGCTTTCTTCACTGTGGTAGCTGTGTTCAGTGACCAGCGCAGGTCAGATGTCACCTGCAGGCCCAGGAACTTGTGGCTGTCAGCCCTCTCCACCTCAGTCCCTTTGATGGGCAGAGGCAGCAGAGGGGAGGGGTTCTTCCTGAAGTCTACTATTATTTCTTTTGTCTTGTTTATATTGAGGATGAGGTCATTCTCCTCTCCATAAACAAGAATGTTGCTCACCAAGCTTCTGTAACCCAACTCATCTCCCCCCTTGATGAGGCCCAGGATGGTGGTGTCATCAGCATATTTAATGATGATGGTGTTGTCATGGTTGGAGACACAGTCATGGGTGTACAGGGTGAAGAGTTTGTGGCTGAGACAGCATCCCTGAGACAGCCTCTGCTGATTGTGAGCTCAGCAGACACCCACCCTCCCATTCTGACCACCTGTGGTCTTTCAGTCAGGAAGTCCAGAATCCAGTTACAGGCGGGAGGTGGTACACCGAGATCTGTTGAATGCAGAACTGTAAACCAGGAAGAGCATCCTAGCATAGGTACTGCTGTTGTCCAGGTGTTTCAGGGTGCCAGAGCCACCACGTCGCCCACTGATCTGTTGGGGCGGTAGGCAAACTGGGGAGGGTCTACAGTGTCCGGGACCATGTGGTTAACATGTGTGAGAACCAGTTTCTCTAAGTACTTCATGGCGACTGATGTAAGCACCACTGGCCTGAAGTCATTCAGAGTGGAGGTGTCTGACGTCTTAGGGACCGGTATGATAATGGATTTTTTGAAAATGTGAGGAACTACTGCTTGAGTTAAAGACAGGTTGAAGATGTCTGTATACACACTAGCTAGTTGATCCCCACAGGCTCTCAACACTCTAGTGGGGACACCATCTGGTCCTGCCACCTTATGGGGGTTTACCTGTCTCAGGGCCTTCAGGACCTGTGTGTGTGTCACCTGAAAAGCAGTGTCCCTCAGGTTGCAGGGGGATTTAGAGGTTGTGTCTGTGTTCATCCTGTAGCATAGACGTTATTAAGGTCGTCTGGAAGGGTGGCGTCCTGGGGGGCTGTGTTTGTTGATTTGTTCCTGTAGTTTGTGACTGTCTGGATTCCCTGCCACATACTGTGAGTGTTATTCATATAGTAGCTCTCCAGTTTTTGGAAGTATGCTCTCTTTGCAGCTCTGATGGACTTCTGTAGCTCATACCGGGCTTTCCTGTACTCCGCTTGGTCCCCTGACTTAAAAGCCTCTTGTCTCTTCCTGATTTTCTGTTTTATATTCCTATTAAACCAGGGTTTTCGGTTAGGGAAAACACACACTGTTCTAGCTGGTGCACCAGCTGATGTAATCACTCACAGTCTCTACATATTCTTGGATGTTGTTTGTGGCCCCTTTGAAGATGCTCCAGTCTGTGGCCTCCAGACAGCCCTGCAGGCTGACCTGTGAGTCATTCCAGGTGTTAACAGTTCTCACTGAGATTGGGTTCGCCTTGAGTCGTTTGGTGATTATTAAATTAACAGAGCCCCATTAGTATCAGGCAGACAATACTGCAAATCATAAAGTACACTGACTCAGAGTGTGTTGTGTGTTGTCCTGCACCTTTTCATCTCTCTGCACTGGGACAATGAAATATGGTTGGAAAAGTGCAACAAATGTAACATTTGCCTTTCTAGCATCTCTCTGGGGTTATAAAAGGAGAGTAAATTCTTCTGCAAGAGATGCTTTTTTCCTTTGAATCAGTCAGTGTTACCTTGTTGGTAGTCAATAGCCAGTCCAGCAGAGACATTTTTTGCATTTGTTTTTCCTTTATCCATCCATGTTATGGAAGCTCGAACACGGAAATGAACGAGCAATAAAGACGGACCCAGGTAGCTGGCTTTGGTGCAAGTAGTGACAGATTTATTTACAGTGTAAGTCAAAATGCAATAAACAGATAGGTGCTGAATGGTAAGGAATAACCCTGAATGTGCTCTGAGATGACATTGGTTGTGATTTGGCAGTATACAAATAAAATTACACTGACACTTAGCATGTAAAACAATATTTCATGAGTTTGGCAGCTGTGGATTGTGTTGTTTAAGGCTACAAATACTGCCAATGCTGTTCTTGCTGCAAATCAGACCAGAGACATTATAAATCGAGAATTAAGTAAAAATTAATTGCACTGAATATGCAAAATTGTATGTAAAATCAAAGCATGTGTAAAAGCACAGTACTGTATCTCTGAAAGGATATTTATACACAGGATATTTGGATATTACTGGATCACTGAGTACAGACCAAAGAACCGGTAAGAAATGATTTTGCAATAATAAAGAGAATAGTCAAAACCACACGAACCAACAAACCAAGTGTTGTAGCTTCAATTAAATCTACTATTTGTCCCAGAACACAGCCAAAGACAGACTACAGTACAATAAGTAATTCTATAACGACCCCATAACAGATAAATCACAGCGTAGGCAGGATTCTTAATGTTAACTACATAGAAAGTCACTTTCGGCTTTTCCCGTTTAGGAGTCACCACAGCGAATCGTCACACTGACGCCTCGCATGTTGACATTTGGCACGTGTTTTACGCCGGATGCCCTTCCTGACGCAACCCTGACTGGAACCCGGGCCGCAGCGGTTAGGGCCTACCAGGGACGGCTTAATACGAGCTATATACACGTAGGAAATGCTTCTCGCATTTAGAAAAACCATGGTGAATATCATAGTGTGCCCGCACGAACTCGATGTGTTAGTTTGCAAACACAGGTCATGAGGTTTCCACATGGTGAGAAGGCGGTGGGCAGATTGTGTCCGCTGACCCACGTGATCACCCCCATAAATACAGAGGGAGCGGCGCGGCCACGGCACTGTGGCTCCTGCTGTCCCACCTGCAGCACCCAGGGAGGACTCCCTCACGTCCACAGTCACATCCACGCATTACAGACACCTGCTTCTGCTCTCTTGTCTCCGTGTTGTTGCTCCTCCCCGCACCGATTAAATGCCCGCTCGGCCTCTCAGTCAGCTTCACTTAGAAGAAGTCATGACCGAGGAGCTCTAGGGTTGGATCACCCTGACAGCAGGCGAACATCTGAGCAGTTTCTTGCGGGCATCTTCACCGTCCAGGAAGCCTGAACCATGAAGACCATTCTTGCTGCATACTCTGGTGTCCTCAAAGGTAAGACGGTTTGGACCTCAGGTGTGGCAGGAACTACAGCAGGCTAAGAAAAGAGGTGGTCAAACAAAGCAGGGGTCGCTCCTGGAAGGGTGAGACACGAAACTCAGCACAAGCCCATGTGGTGCTGTCATGTTGTGTTTTATTTTGGGGAGAGCGCATTTTCCAAAGCGGCGTGTGCTATTAATAATCATTTTGAGAGGAATCCTGTGAAAACCAGTAGAAAAATATCATGCTGTAGAGTTGTTGTTGTTGTTTGTTTGTTTGTTTATTTCTAATTTTGAACTCTTATAAAGTACCGGTCTTTGGGTCTAAGTCTTTGGTTTGTGGTCGGTGACTGTTTCTCTTTTCAACTTCGATACTAACAAGTACTCAGCTTTACCTGGAACTTGATCTTGCACGATTAAATTAAATGTTTTGCCTTTTTCGCCAGTTGAAATGTTGAATAATGATTTTTGATATGAAACAGTGATATCTTCTGTGAAGAATGTACAGATTCAGGCCTGCCAAGCTTTGCTGTGCTGATATTCATTCTGTTTCTTCTACTGATTTCTGTGACAGCTCAAGGACCAGTCAGCATCAGTCATAGCGGATTTAAGGGATGGCTTCACAGTGCTCATGTAACGGGTTACACTCATACCTATGTACACTGAACCCTTTCAATGTGCATATAGTACTGGTTTTATAAACTTGGGGGAAAAGTGAACTTATCTAAGTCTGCAGCCAGAGATGAGTCTGGCAGTGCAGTTACACTACAGAATCATTAAGGCTGTAAAACTGAGTCGGTTAACATTTGAAGTCATGTATGAATTTACATACAGTATATCAGCCAGAAACAGTTTTTGACCGACAAGCATATTGTCAACCTGGTTGCTCCATCTTCACCACCTGATTTCTTTCCACTTCGGTCTGGCTCACAGCAGAACTCAGAGCACGTTCTGCAAGCGGGCAGATTTAGCTGTGATCTGGTGATCAGCTGTGTCCTGGGCAACCGTCTCTGTTGGTCGCTGGCATAGATTCAAGCAGTAATAGCCTTAAGAAGTCAGAATATCCTAGTTTAGAGGTATTACCAGCAGCAACCCAGTGCTGGTTATTTATAGTATCCACGGATGGGATTAGACAGCAGAGTCCTCCTGGACAGGAAGTCTTCTTCTTATGGGCTGAGTGGTAGGAGCCTCTTTTAATGTGGCTGTTACTGATGGCAACCTTTTCACCGTCTTTTCACATGTACAGTAATTAGGTGGCTTTGCTTTATGAGTTAGTGACTGAAATGAGCTGGTGAGTAGCTCAGGCTGTGTGGGTGCGACTTGGCTGAAGTGTCGATTGTACTGTAGGTTACATTGTTGGACACAGGGTCCTAGGATTAAGCTCATTACTGAGTTTGATGTTCACCCCAAAGCAGCACATATTACTACTAGGGGTGTGTTGACTGCATCTTTTCAATTTCATCCACAAATGTTTCTCCTATATACTTGAAGTTTGTGTAACTGTGTGACTGCCTTTGACAAGGTGGCCCTTTTCTGCTCTTAAGTTTCCTCTTGCATGTTTTGTTTCCAGGAACCGGCTCTAGTATTCTGTATGCCCTGCAGGACCTGCCATCAGCATTCTGGCCCTGCAGATCAAAGATGGAAAAACATCTGCAGGTCATCTCTGTGCTGCAGTGGGTCATCACCTTTGTATCGATGGGTGCGTGAGCATCCATGTGCCTTTCACTTAAGCTCTAAGATTGCAAAAAAGCCTGGAAGAGTTGGCTCATAGTTTCATTTTGATTCAGATAATTGATTGTGCTCTCTGTCCTGTGTCCCTCCAGGTGCTGCCTGTACTGGGCTGTTGATCTACATGTTCTGCACAGATTGCTGGCTTATTGCTGCCATTTACACTGCCTGGCTCATTGTTGACTGGAACACCCCAAAACAAGGCAATACATTAAAGATGATGTCAATCAAAAAGAGCCTGCCCATGAGAAGAAAAAAAATCACTGTACTAATGATAATAAAACTGCATAACTGTGTAGGCATGATGTATTAGAATCTACTGGTCTGACCTCTTTCTGAAAATTTCAATTGGCTGATGCATTTTTGAGTCAAAACATTACACTGGTATCTAAGGGTTAAAATATCAAGTAGTGTGACAGTGCATGAATGAATGCAGACTTGTCCTGGCCATCAGTGTGACACAGTATTACCTCAGCACTGGGTAACATTTTGTAACTTGTATCACAAAAAATAACTGCGTTTAAAGAAGGTTTGTCCAGGTTTTAAATGGTTTACATCAGACAGACCACATCCAGTAGATGGGCCACTTGTAGAGCCAGGAGTGGTTTTGAATAGTGTAAAAACATTTAGCTAATAAGGAGAAAATTAACTGACAGCAATTTAGAGAGCTGATTTATGGTTTCAGTCAAACAAACCTCATAAACATTTGCTGGTTTCACTGCTTTGACATGATAGATTAGCTCATCAGCGGTGGGCTGGCTATCAGCTGTCTGTTCCATGCTGCTTCTTGTCCTGTGTTGATTATGATGAGGGCCTGACTGCAGTTGCAAGTTGAGGACTTTGTCCTACCTGATAGACCAAGGAGCAGCACTAAGCTTGTGTTGTCTTCATGCTAAGGGCTTTTATTTAGAAAGGTGGGCAGTCTCTTACAGATCATTTGTTAAAGTTTGGTAATTAATTGATATTCATGTTTTTTAGTTGCAATAGAATTAAGTTTCTTGCAAATATATTAAATGACATGCTGTTTTCAAAGCCATAATTCGTCAGTGTGGCTTGTGGAGGCCATCCTGGGATCAACAGCAGTATTTTTATGTGATTTATTGGCAGGCTGGCTCTCAGATTTAAACCAGGGATGTAGGATGGTTATCAAAGGCAATTAAGGCAAATATAGTGAGACAAATAATGTAGAGCAGCAGCTGAATTATACAAGCCACTAGTATGTCCGGGTATGTCCTGCATTGTGAATGTTTGATTGAAAAACACACTTTTCATCTTTGGTTTGATTGATTGATTGATTGAACACTGTAAATCAGTAGCTGTCTATTTTTCCCAGTACCTTCCTGCCAGTGTGATGTTTTGTTCCATAATTTCTGTTAAATACTGATTCTTATCTTCTCAGGTGGCAGGAGGTCCTCTTGGGTGAGGAGCTGGGCAATATGGACATACTTCCGAGACTACTTCCCAATCAGGGTTGGTAACTTTGTCAGTCATTGCCAATTTATCTTGAAAACCAAGAGCAGGACAGAAAAATTGCAGTCAGTAAACAAATGAAATGTGGAAATCTGCTTGACTTTTGAGTACATGTCTGGAAATACTAACAAAGGAAGGTTCTGTATGACTAGTTTATCAACATTCCACTTGTGCACTGGTTTAACTTAATATTTAAGCTTTTCAGGAGCGGAACTGGATATCAGCTGCCTGCTCCATGCTGTTTCTTCTCCTCTGTCAATCATGAGGAGTTCTTTGGGAGACTTTAGACTTTGCCCTACCTGACAGGCTGAGCAGTAGTGCCAAACTTGTTTGTCTACAGGTATTCCCCTACTGTATGCGGTGGTGGTTCAGGCTAAAGGGAAGAGTGCACAAACACACACAGCCCCCCCCCCCCAACACACAAACGTCAGAGTGTGTTTAAAGAGTCGATACTGTGCATGATTCAGGCAGTGGTCACTGGATTTGAATCATCACAGCAGACTACAACAGCAAACACGAGTTGGTTATTCAAAAAAAATCCTTAGCTCTTTAGATAATTCTTCATTTTCTAAGCATGTTCTGGTTCATGCTTCTCCAGTGAGTTGATCTGCTGTTCTGTTGTTTTACAACATTGTAAAGTGAATATCTGTAGACATTGATCAAACAAAAGATACTGTATTTGATGATGTCACCTTGGATGGAAGGATAAGTATGTGGACATCTGTCAGTATTTTCAGGAATTACATAGACAAAACTATGGATGGAAAAGAATCAGACGTATAAATGACTGATTAAGCAATAATGAAAATATTTATTAATTGCAATTATAGTACAGATAAATATTGTCATTACAATATCACTCATACTTGTTAAGTACCTTCAAGTTTAAAAAAAGAACAAGATGACAAATGTAATGTGGATTCCTCTTTGTTACTGAATTAGCTCCACTTGTTTGGCCCTCACACCTCAGAATGGTAATGAAACATAGGCTTGTGCGGTTCCACTGCTTCTTCACTTAATGTTTCTTGTGATATCAAAGAATATCCACAGACTGTTTAAATGTATAAAGTCACTTCAGTGTAAGGAGAATGTTGTACTCGGAGCAGAAACTAAAGAAGGCTGCAAACTGAATTTGAAGTCCGGCTCTTTGCAGCTGAATGCTTCATCCATTGATCTGTACCATGTGAACTACGTATCCATTTGTCCCAGTGGGTTGATGAGAGCATTTATTTGTCAAACCTCAGTGTTGGGAAAAGTCTGTTAAAGGTGCAATAAATCCAGCTTTTGGTTCATGAGTTGGAAGAATGAGAGCATATCTACTGGGGCATCAGTTGTTTGTAGGGCAAATATTCTCCATCTATCATAAATTATGTATGAGCTGGAAGCCAACCGGTCAAAATCCAAATCAAAGTTTAATCGGGCTGTAGGATGTCCAGAGCGTGACTGTTCAGATAACAGCTGCCAGAACATCTGCGTGAGTTTGTTTCAACATTAGAAACATGGACTCTTATGTAATAATAATAATTTTTTTTTTTTTTGCAGTAACAGGTGACTAGTGTCAAGTCTGTATCTTAATCAGACAGGGTGTTAAATGCAACTGTCTTCCCTGGTTCCACTTTAATCCTTCACATCTGCCATGCCAGCCAGGTGTCCTATGGTACTATGGGGATCTTAAATGTGATCTCCTTTGTTAATGTGGTTATGCAACTCTTGTGTTTGATTAGCTGCTAAGAGACATTTGTGTACATATTGTGATGCATCTACAGTCGATAATACACAATTAAATGTACCAAGTAATAAGAAGGCATTCATTTGGAAGCTCAGCATACAAGTTAAATGATGTTTGCCCATTACTTGGCCCCAAAGAGGGGGGTGTCAGGCCACAGCGTCATAAATCTTCAGAGCCCCACAATAAGCAACATTATTTTCCAGAGCTAACCTGTCCTCACCCAAGCAAACAGCAGATACAGTATGTGGCTTGACACACAGCATCTGCATTGTATTTGCTCAGGTTAAGCAGTGGCTGGTCCAACTGGCTTGTAATGGCAGTCACCTCTAAGAGCCTGGTCCGCTCAGTTGTCCAGCTACTGACACTGACCACTGCTCTACCAAGACTGTCTAACAAAAGAAGTCTACTAACCATTCCAGTGAGTCTGTAGCTATATTATCGCCAACACCAGAACAAGTTTAGTGTGGGTGTAGGAGTGAAGGTACGTCTACAGGGTCATGAAGTGGGCACCTTCTCACTAACTGGAGTTATATACTGCAGATCAGAGCACAGTTAGTTTCTTATAGGATTCTACAGTTTTAAAGTTTCAACATATAACCCACAACAAGACACCAGATGATATCACCCAGTGTGTGAATGTGTGAGTGGTTGGGAGTGTGAGTGGGTGAATTGGAAAATAGTGTGAAAGCACTTTGAGTGTGCTGCAAGTACCATTTACCATTTATTACATAATACTGAAGCACTTATTATTCTTATATATTATATGTATACAATGAGTAGCTAGTATGGCTTACTAAAATGACGTCCTCCTCTCAGATGCTCCTGCTCTATGTGCAATGTACCCCTCCAGATTGAAATCAGGTTCTCACTGCTTCTCTCTGTGTTATTTTCCTCCAGCTAATTAAAACCCATGACCTGCCACCCAACCGAAACTACATATTTGGCTTCCACCCCCATGGCATCTTTTGTTTTGGGGCGTTCTGCAACTTTGGGACAGAGGCCACTGGCTTCTCCAAGAAATTCCCCGGCATCAAGCCCTCCCTGGCAACCCTGGAAGGAAACTTCCGCTTTCCCTTGCTGCGAGACTACCTGATGTCTGGAGGTGAGATGATTTGCAAAACCAGCTCTTAAAATGTCCAGTGCCGCTGATAACAGTATCTGTAAGAGACTGGACCTTTGTCACACAGCTGATATAGCTTCTGTTTACTTGGACCTGCTGACTTCACATATATTTTTTCTAGAGCTTTTGCTGTTCTGTTCTCAAGGTCTCTTAGGCCACAGTTACTGTACACGTACTCTTTTAGGTTATTGTACATGTTGGTAATCAGCTTCTTAAAGTAGGATTCTCTTTGGAATCATTTCTGTCACATGGAGTGCATCAATCCTTTTTTTGCAAAATTTGTTGTTTTATAACAGTGCTTCTTTGGCTGTAGTTTTTGCACGATTAACATGGATAGTATAATTCTGCTTAGATACTGGGCTAGTGGACTTTGCCAAATAGTGCAATTGTGCAGTATTACAAATGTAAACAGAGTTAATGCCTCACTACCTCTTCACCACTGCTTCTTTATGTTTTTTCCTCTCAGGTATATGTCCAGTAAACAAGAACTCTATCGACTACCTGCTGTCACATAACGAGACAGGGAATGCTGTTGTCATTGTTGTCGGAGGAGCAGCGGAGACTCTGCACTGTTCCCCTGGCATGAATAGGGTCACCCTGAAGAATCGCAAAGGCTTTGTGAGACTCGCTCTGAAGAAAGGGTAAGCTGGCTGCACAAGATTCAGACACAAGGGCATATGTGGTTACAGTGATGAAACAGCCTTGACCAAATCCGTTTTCAGCATGTAAATGTCATTCTCAGGGCTGTAGTGACTCAGTGGAATGAATAAACCCTAGATTATTACTCCCAGAAAGGTTGAAACTACCTCACAGAGAGATTACCAGGTCTACCATATTACCAAATTTTTTATGAATGCGCAATGTTGTCCCTCATGAGGCTTAAAGCTATTTGTGGATTTGCAGTACCCTTTTGGAAAGGTCATTTTATGCGGAGAGGCAATGGGCTTGCTATAATGAGTATTACAAAGGAAATTGCCCAAGTTTGTCTTGCTAGCACAAACAAACCTGATTTCAAATATGAGGATAATTACTGGGAACACCTTGTCCAAAGAAGTTTAGAGATTACAGATACAGTATGCAGAGCATTATAACTAGGTTACCATTCTAGCTGAAATGAGCCCTGACTGTGAATTTAGGCATTTGGTTTCTAGCACTTTTATGGATTTATTTTGAAGTGTTTAGAATAAAATAACCTGTATGATTTATAATCAAAAATCTATTTAAAACATTGCATTCAAATCTTCAGGTTGCTACCTTGAAATTCACATTTCAGACAGCTGATGGTATAAAATAGTGGTGTACAACTCCAGATCCCACAAGGGCGCTTCAAGATAGGCTTATCATTTTCTCAAAAACACTAGACAGTGTTAGGTCTCCAAGCTTTAAATAATATTCAAATTAAACAGTCAGTGAAGGTGAAAATCACTGTATAAAATGCTCTTAGAAATATGTGATGAGGGTCATTACTTTAAAAGGCCAAATAGCCAACAAGGTTTGGAGCTACTGGTGTTGACAATGATCAGTGCAAGTAGTGGCTAAAGAAAAAATACAAAATTTGCTCACAAGTGCTGATATTGAGCAGTATTGAAACGGAGTTCCAAAGTTTAAAAAACAGGTTTTCTGCACAGAAATAGTTCTGGTCACTGGCCCAGCAGTGCTGTTGTCACTTTTGTATTTAGGGGAATTTGTTGAGCTCCTTGATGTTCCCCCAGGTCTGACTTGGTGCCAGTGTATTCCTTTGGAGAGAATGATGCCTACAAGCAGGTTATCTTTGAAGAGGGAACCTACTGGAGAACTCTTCAAAAGCGAATACAGAAGATTGTAGGCTTTGCTCCGTGCCTTTTCCATGGACGTGGCCTTTTCTTTAGTGACTCCTGGGGCATCTTGCCTTATTGCAAGCCAATCACCACCGTTGGTAAGTTTGTCTGATAAGAGTTAAAGACTTCTATTATTAGACTTACTGTATTTTTAAAAATGCCAAAAATCCTCAAAAACTCACAGGACAGTGACTACAAAAGTTTTTTACAGAACACACCAAGTCGGTGTTTCTTTCTTCTGACCCCAGGGGCATATTAATGGTTAACAATTAACACTGGTTGTAAATATTTCAGTTTGTTTGGCACTTTGTATTAATCATTTCCCACTTTTGTAATAGTTGGGGAGCCAATCACAGTGCCAAAAATTGAGGATCCAGCTGAAGAGATGGTTGATCTGTACCATGCAATGTATGTCAAGTCCCTCCGGTGCCTTTTTGACAAGTACAAGACCCGCGTTGGCCTGAAAGAGAGTGACATCCTGTATATACAGTGAACAGATGAATCTGAACTGAACTGTGGCGCCGTCTTCACACCCCATGGCCCCTTCCCCTCCTCACTGTTCGGACTTGGTTCCTGGTTTGAAGTATCTCTGGTCTGCAAACCCTATGTTTGTCAAAGAAACCTTTGCTCTCAGCATTGTTACACACAAACATAAACATACTTTCATCACAGGAAACAGCAGGTATGAAGAAGAGTGGCTTCTCTCTGCCACTGTCACAAGGTTAAACGGTCTCAGCTGGACAAATTAACCCCAAATTCTGCATCAAAAATTGTGCCTTAGTGTTTTTTCCATCTCCATTTTCTAAGTGAAGGCATCAAGTCTAGACTGTCTCAGTCAGTGGGGGTGGGGGAGGTTCTACTGGATGGAGCTGGAGGATAGCATGCAGGACACTGAAGGAGCGCCAATGTCTTTCACTCACAGATTCTTGTGTTTTTTTCCTAAGCTCTTTGAGATCATGTTATATGCTAAATGTACAAATGCTGCAAGCTGAGGGTACCACTTTATTATTGGGGTATTAAGCCTAAAGGTTAATTGGGCCAAAGACCTACGTTGTCCCACAGGTGCATGTATTTCTACTGTATAACTGCTGAAAGTGAACAAACTGTACAAATTCATGTTGTAAATGCCCAATACATGTGCCTATGATTGTATATAATACCATAAAGTATTCATTTCTGTAAGTTTATTATAGTGCTTCTTCCTCAATGAATGCTGTGTTTCTAATGCACTTTTTGTATTGCTTATTGCATTCTGAGGTTTTTGTCTATGGAAAAATGCCTTTTCCAAGAGAGTGACTGTGCTGCTTGGCTTGATTTCCTTTTCTTGTCCTACTGGTGATCAAGTCTGAAAGGGTGTGTTTGTCTTTCAGGATTGAGCTGCAGATGAAGATCAAGTAATGTTGTGGGTGTTTCTTGATCTTGATGTTTGATCATTTGTACAGTGCATTACTTTGTAACCATGCCATGGGTGCTAATTGAAAAGGAAGAGATTACACCGGGTAATGCCTTATTACTAGCAATAAGCTACAGTATATTTTAGGGTGTCACTTGTGCTCCTCTAAAATAATAGTATGTGAATATTGAATGTGCTGGGAACAATCAAAAATAAGTAAGCTTGTGTCATGTTGATGGGCATGTAGACAGGCAGTAAAATATAGGATTGTTATTTGAAAAGCATTGTTCCCCTGGTTTCACAATGGTCGACTTATAAAGAACAGTGTAATCCCTGTGCAATACATTTACAATAATAAACACAGTGAGACATGTCTATATGCATCATCTGTCTGCAGATATTGAAAATAAAGTTTTGTATGTTTCAAAAGAAGGTGTGTGTGTGTATGGCTATACAGTGTGAGGACCACTTTGATATTTATACCAGGGAAGTGAGGACATTTTGTTCAATCCTCACTTTCTGACACACCATCTATTTGAGGGTTAAGAGTTGGTTTTGGGGGTTAAGTGTAGAATTGGGGTAAGGGTAAATATTTGGGTTAGGCACTTAGTGGCTGTGATGGTCAGTAATGTTTTATGTCAATCAGTGTTCTCACAAGATGGCTGTACAAAATGTGTGTGTGTATGCTTCTTTGTTTGTGTGGAGAGATTTTAGCTTGAAACTATCACTAAGGACATTTTGGTCAGTCTCAGTCACAACTTCTGAGGGCTGTTTGTGAGTGAAGATTTTGCTTTAGGGTTATGGTAAGAATTTTGTGTTGTGTCTTTGGATGCTTTTCTATTATTCCTTCTCAAAAAAAATTGCAATATGGTGACTGGGAAGTCACTGCCACATTCAAAGTGAAGTCAAAGTTTATTTATATAGCACTTTAAAACAACAGGCATGTTGGCCAAAGTACAATAAGACAATCAAAACAGTACACATTAAAGTGGCTCTAGCTAACTTTTAACTCCTTTTCTGCCACCACTTCTCTTTGCCCCTCCTGCCCTGTCTGAAACTACATCATATGTGGTCAAGACAGACTCATGTAGCCCATAAAGGCTGTGTGGTGGCATTGCAGCAACATCGGCCCATTTTTCTACCTAAAGCAGTAACACAAGCATCCATCCATCCATTTTCCAAACCGCGTAGTCCCAAATGGGGTCACAGGGGGCTGGAGCCAATCCCAGCCAGCTGCAGGCAAGATACACCCTGGACAAGTCGCCAGTCCATCGCAGGGCTAACACACAGACAAACAACCACTCACACACACACACACACACACACACACACACTCCTACGGGTAATTTAGAGACATCAATCAATCTATGCTGCATGTCTGTGGAAGGAAGCCGGAGCACCCGGAGAGAACCCAGGCAAACACAGGGAGAACATGCAAACTCCACACAGCAAGGCCCCGGGTCGGCCGGGGCTCAAACCCGGAACCATCTTGCTGTTAGGCAACAGCGCTAACCACCGCACCACTGTGCTGCCCATGTAACACAAGCAAATTATTGTTTTTTCTGTGGATGTTTTTTTCAGTAATATTGATACAGTACTAATGTTCCGGCCACTGTCACATAAACGTTCAATATTATATACTTGACACAAATAACATTATAAGGTAACTGTGAATTTTATGTGAAATGAGAAACTACGCTTTGATAGTTGAACAAACTCCCCACTTTTCTATTTGTGTTGATGGCATCAAGTTTAACAACTTCTCACTAAAATGCTACAAGGACTAATCTAATCTAGGAAAATGACTGGTTTCTGCTAATTAGACAACAAAAGGTTACCTTGATAATGATGTCAACAAATATCTGTACATGTTAGCCAGCTACAGTACTTATGCATCTAGCAGGAAAAAAGCCACATCTGTGTCAAATTTTAGTCATTTGGATGCTTCTAATGCTCTCTATCTCTGACATGACAAATGGCATGACTAATATTAACCCTGGTTTTGCCTTGGTCTTTGTCACACTTTCTGTGCTACATAACATAGCCTCTTGGGTCTAACAGGCAGGTCTGCTCCGATCCTGGGTTGTAACAAACCTCCACAGTCTGTCTTTGAAATGGGCCATACTTGTTTGAAAAACGCATCTTATAACCTTGGATCAGAGGGGGTGTGGAAGAAGTGTGGTCCAGATTTTAACAACACTGGCCAGAGAGGGAAAGAAATAAACACAAGGCCTAAAGATAGCAAAGTGGGGTGGGTGGTGGGGTTTAGTACAACAGGAAGAAAACACTTCTTTACAGTTTTGTATGTGATTTATCCAAATTTGTGTTAAATCTTAGTTAATGCAGCTTTAAAACAAAGTGAGATGACAAACAATCACTAATAATAACAGAATATTCCACCAGGAACCATAGGCTAAGGTACATACTTTTAATAAAGATTTAAAATCTGACAGGTCTGAGACAGAAGTTTTATAGGTAGAGAGTTCCAAAGTCTAGCGGCTGCTACAGAAAAAGCACGGTCAGCCCAGTGATATTGTTTAACCCTAGGGACCTCTAATAAAAAATGCCTCATGCTTCATCAACAATGTATTTCTACATTGTCAAAATTAACATAAGCATTTACCCTTAAAGCTGTAACAATATTAAAATTATCTTATACCACACTGTCAGACTGTATAATTCATATATCGTTTTAGTGTTGAAAACACACATAGTATGTATTGAAGCTACTGTAGTTGATATTTACTTTGTGTGAAATATTCAAACTAAAAACTCAGATTTTATAACTGCACCAGTCCATCAAATAAAAATATTCTATACACATTTTTAAATTCAGTCTGCAATATTTAGTATCTATTGAAACTTTGAAATCTCATTAATATAATGTTGTATGTGTTAAAGACTGTTTGGGTGTGCAGTATGAGTTTGTACTGACCTGTTCACCAGAAGGTTAGAAAGGTTTGACCTTAGCAATACTCAAAGTGGCAGTGGCGAAATTATTTCTTACCTAAATATATAAATATACTATAACACATATTAATTAAAATGCATTTAAACATTTAACTGTTCTATTGTCTTATGATTAGGAGTTCATTAATAACAGCATTTGGTTGAACTTCAGTCAGTTTTAGCCACTTTTAAAAAAGATGGGTAGCTTAATTTATAACAGTGTATCATATTTTGGATGTTAAAAATGTGTTAAAGTAGTATATTCATAAGCACCTCAAAACTGCATAGTGGTTATGTAAATGCAATTAATTACTTTCCTCTCATGAAAACTGTTAAATATTAATTTTGATGCATAAAAAATAAAGTGCTAATGTAAAATATAATAGGACGATTTGTCCATCACTGAATCTATTATTTCTGAAACGCTTCTATAACAGTATATCTACAAACAGGAAGGCCATTTTTCAGATACATGAGACACACAGACAGACATAAACAAAAAGCAGAGTCCCCTGACCATGTGAAAACAGGACTCCCTTATGTAGCTGATGCCGCCCCCTAATGGTTGCTTAATAGTCTGCATTCAGGGTGATAATAGTGGAAAGAAAAGTCAATATACTTAAGTACAGTACTCATGAATACTTTGAAGGCACTTGAACACGAGTAATTTCACATTACTCTGCTAGCTGACACTTGTTCTTTACTGCATTTTAGAAACACCTACTATTACTTTGCTACGTGTCAATGATGTTTAAGGTTATGTGTTACACCGTATCCATTATTTCCATACAAAACAAGATTAGCTAAGGTACACTGTTACAGATATAAATACCCAACTGTCTATAAAGTTGTTACAGCCTAGCAGCCTATAGCCACTTCGACTGCAACATTTAGCTACAACATAACAATGCTGTTTATACATTAATGCATCAACAACAATAATATATATAGGTCAATTTGCATTGTGAGCACTTTTACTTTTGATATTTTAAATATAATCTTTTGATAACATTTCTGCATTTACAATAAAACTTCAGATTTTTAATTGGAGTTAAGAGGGGTTTCCTTAGGTCTTTTTCTTTCTCCTCTCGGTACGTGAGGAATTCATGTTACTCTGTCGGGCACAGAAAAGTAGGCTATTTCAAATAGAGATCACAATTCGGACATTATGGATCAAATATCTAACATTCAGTAGCCTACTAAAGTCACTGAAAACTGATGTTAAGTTTGTGTCAGAGAACCACGACATAGCCCCTTCTCTTCGTCGCTTTTTGTACTAACACTAGTGATGGGTCCGGCAACACCGACGCGTCGCCACATGCGCCGAGCTCGTAGAGCAAAACCCCGTGTCGGTGCGCGTATCGCTTTAAGAAAGTCACGTGACCGATACAGGAACTGTTTTGAACTGACACTGCCGCGCCAAACTGTGTTTATAAGGAAGTGCATATGTCAACAGGATGCATCTGCCAAAACGAATCTCTGATCTATTGCGGTTCATCGTCACATTCATCAAGAATTATGGAGCAGCCTCAAGCCAAAAGAAAGGTTTCCGCCGTGTGGGACCATTTTGATCAAAGGGGAACAAGTACAAATTAAAAACGTTGGAAAAAAATTTTTTTTAATAAAAATTTGTACAAAAAAAAAAAAAAAAAAAGCCCAGTCCACAAGCATCCTCATTCACAACACGTTCATTTAGATTTTCACGTTATGATACATGTTCACATTATTTATTGACTGTATCTAAAAATATCAAGGAAATTTTAAATTTAAATGAAGATATGAAATAATACAATATAAAATACAATGACTTAAATTATATTATTGTATATACTAGGTCATCAAATCAGCGTCAGTTGAGTCTGTCAACCAGGTTGCCTGTAGGGATTTTTAAGGTCCAGCAGGTGTCAGTATTCAGTGACACAGTATCGACACAGTATCAATACAGTTTAGCAATGTGTCGAAACGCTTCATGACGCCTCATCTACCCATCACTAACTAACAGAAACCGTAAATGAGAAATAATCTGGATGTCACCGCTTAATTGTCACCTGCATGTCACGTTGTGCTGTGCAACTTCCTTATATTTTGCAGCTTTGACAGATTTCAACGAACATCCGCCCTATCCTGGATGATAAACAGATTAAACAACCAATAGTAACACGAATTTTCAGAAGTAGGCGCAAAT